ACAGTAGTAACTTTTCTACCCACAACTTTAATAACTTCAGACCAACCTGAATACAAGTCAACTAATATCAGAAATAGTCCTATACCTTTAATGTAGGCATGATCTATATATATTTGTGTCCACAGCTCCATTTCTCTTGGCCAATAGTGAATTTTAGTTTGCCTAAATTTCTGCACACTTTGAGCTTTTTTTGACATACTCTTCCATGTCTCTCGAATAGCCTGGCCACCATACTTACAACTTTAACCACATTTGTGTAGTCAATATACCTTCATATATATCATCATGCATGTCTTAGTGTCTTGACTCTTTATAAGGCCTCTCAGCCATAGAGCAATTACTTCATGTATTTCTCTTTAGTCTATCCATAATTTTATTCAATACTGGATCCTGCCTAGTTCCCAAACTAAGCCTTTTTAAGAGTAATACATCTGTTTTTATCCTGTGCAAAATCCTATCCTCACAATTTTCACTTGCTTCAACATTTTTACTCTCAAAATTTAACTGAGATAATGCATTCACATGCAAAATAGTATTTCCTTTAATATATACGATGTCAAAGTTGAATACCATAAGCTTAATTGCCCATCTTAATATCCTGGTGGATGTGACTTTTGGCAACTTTTTTCTGGGGTTGAATATAAATTCCAAAGGCTTATGATCAGATTTTAATAGAAATTTCCTTCCCAACAAAAAATTTCTAGCTCTTTCCATGCTCCACACAACTGCCAACATCTCCTTCTCAGTATTCGGATAATTCACCTCCACCAATGTTAGTTTTCTGGATAAGTACATTACAGGATGTTCCTCCTGCGACAATATTGTGGCTATAGCACAGTCACTGGCATCAGTAGTTAGTATCAATTCTTTCACTGTGTTGAAAATTTTAAAACTGGTTTGTTTATGAGTGCCTTTTTAATTTCTTGAAAGCAACCTCCTGTCTTTTTGTCCATTGAAACTCGGTATTCTTCTTCCTTATTTTGTTAAATGTTTCCACAAGGTCATTATATCATGGTAGATATCTGTTATAGAAACTGGTTAATCCCCAAAGAGATTCTAACTCTTTTTTATTTCTGGATGAAGTATCTCTGATATCTTATTAATGATTTTATGCTCTAACGATATACTTGATATCCTATATATTTGATATCCTAGGTACAAATTTTTTTCATGATTAAATTCACATTTATCACAATTAATTGTCTTACCCACCCCATTTAATTTTCTCAAAATTTGCTCCATTTTACTTTTCAGCTCTTCTTTACTGTGTGCACCAATGCCAATACAATTATATTTTTGATAATGAGTTTATCATCCAGTGATATATGGTCTTTGGATATTTGATATCCAAGGTACGAAACTTCACAATTAAACTCACATTTATCACAATTAGTTGTCATACACAACCAATTAATTTTCTCAAAACTTTTTCCATTTTACTTTTCAGTTCTTTTTTACTGCATACACTAATGCCAATGCCGTCCTGATATACAATTATATATTTAATCCCCTCTAAAACTTTCTCGATAACTTTTTGGAAAATGTAACTTGATGTTTTTACTCCAAACAGCAAACAAGTCCATCAATAAGGGTGTTCATTGTGGTGACATCTTGAAACTTTCTATCAATTTTTATCTAATTATAGGCTGACTTAAGGCAAAGTATTTCATGTCAGCAAATTCATGGCATGCTATTTCAATGTTTGGCAATGAGAATGAATCGAAACATATCTGGTGATTCATGCCCAACATATAATCACCACATATTCTTAAATCTCCATTGGGTTTGTGTATCGCCACAATAGGTGAAGCCCAATTTCTACCACCCTGGCTGACTTTTTCTAACATTCCTTGTTCCACCATTTTGTTCAGCTTAGCAGCCACCAAGGGTAGCATGTGAACAGGAACTTTTCAGCCTTCAAAATACATGGTTTGACTGCTTTCTTTAAGCCAAATACTTGTCTCGTATCCCATTAATAATCCAACTGGTTCTACAGACTTCATCGAATTTATCAGCTTCAATCACAATTGATTGATTAATCATGGCAAAGCCTACAAGCCTATTTTTTAAAGTATTCTGCTTTTGAAATTAAACTAATCTTTTGCTCACCAGTGGTTTGACATCGCCCAAGGAGATACTTTTGTGGTGTTGAAACAGGATTGTAATTGTGTAGAGATTTTTAACATGTTTTTGTTTTAGTATCCTAAAATAAATAATATTTAGCTCTACTCTGTATTGATCCCTCTTTTAAATTGTAATGTACAGTAGAATTATACTCCATTTGTTCTCATTTTACCTGGATATATATATATATATATATATATATATATATATATCTTTAGGACTGTAACTAACATTTTTTACTGATGAGTCTTATGGTCACATCATGTTGAAACACCAGTTCCCATACAATGACCAAAATTAAGCAATGTCAGTACCAAGATGAGTGACCACTTGGAAATACCAGGTGCCTTAAGCTTGAATATATGGATAGTGTAATGGATAATGGCTCAGAATAGTTAATTGGAGAACCAAGTTCCAATTCTAGTTGGGTTTGTTATATTCACCTAGCTGCAAATACCCTCAGATAAATGTATGAATCCACCTATTCTCTTCCCAGTTATCGGTTAATTAGTAAGACTTGTATTACTAAACCATTATTATCTCCAAAAAAAGAATTCTTATAATCTAAATATACTTTCTGGCTTTAAATAACCTGCAAAAGATTGATAAGTCATAGAAAATGAATCAATCAATTCACTGATGAGTGTTAGCCAAGAATAGAATAATGTGAATTCCCTAGGATTAAATAGAATAACTTGAAAGCAGCTATTAATCAAAACAAAAAAGTGTAACTTCTTTAGTTGGACCTAATCAATGGTAACCAATAATGTCACCTCACAAGTCAATCTTTGTCAATGGCCACCAATAATGTAGCCCCATGCCCCATGTTGGTCTTCAAGTTCCTTTAGACAACTTTAACTGACTCTTCATTCGTTAGCACATGACTCATTGTCACTGGTATTGTGATAGTAGGGACGGTTCCACTCGACTTAGCTGGCATTTGTTTGTTCATGACCATTCACTCCTCTGTCACGTTGTGTTTTTTTATCTCACAGTGTGAGAAGATCGCTGATGAAGAAAACTGAAGTAAAGGTGGTTCAACAGTTGAAGCTACACAAAAACAAGAATCCTTTGAAATAAAGAATTAACTCGGGTTAAAAATGTAACAATGATTTGGTTTATATATGATTTGTTGTATACAGCAGTTTTAGACTTTCCCACTTAGTGTGATAATCAAATGACACTGGGATCCCCCTTGGAGTCTTCAGCTTATGTTAGTAGTAACTTAAATTTCAAAGTTTTGGTCTTCAGGGCTGACACAGGCTCTTGGTCAGGGGATCTTAGTGAACAATGTGGTTTCCAGTAGGGTGGGTGGACTTGGGCTCTCAGCCTCTCAGACGTTCTCAGGCTCTCTCTCTCTCTCTCTTTTTCTCGCTCCCCCCAGATGTCAATTGTCTTCTACCCTAAACATCACCCTTTTCCAAATTTCTATATTTAAAAATAAATTTACTCAAGTGGTTTTCCAAATTTGGGATTGTCCAGAGGAATCAAGCCACTCATTAACTCCAACTCCCTTCAGGTTTCACTTCACACTATTGCTCCATATAGGTGATATTAATCTCTCTCTTCCCTCTTTTCCTTCTCTTACTTTCTCAGCAGCTAACCTCAGCCCACTTCTAAGACTGGTATGACAAATCCAACTTCTAGATGATGTAACAAAAACAAAAGGGATTTTCAGTCATTAATCTTTCATTATCAGATTGTCCCATACTGTGATTTCTCAATCAACCAGACCACTCAAGAATTAGAGAAAAAAAGAAAGAAAATGATTCCCACTCTCCTTAAAGACAAAAGATTATCTTTTCTCTGACTATGCATTTTTATGATCAACAGACCACACAGCCTTTTTGTTCAAAATAGTAATTAATTTTTCCTTATCACTTGTATACAATGTAATCCAGATTAATATTTGGATATAAATTTTTTCTCTGGACAAATGTCACAGAAATTATAATGACCAATGCATCAAGTCAGTCTCTATCTCTGTGGGGACACTTCTCTTCTGGGTGGCTGATTCAAAACAGAAGGTTTTTCCTGGCCCTTTTATCCAGAGGAATTATAAATGCTATTTCAGCAAACACCCTGGTCTCTTTATGTTTTTATTTTATCTGAAATCTTCATGGATACTTTAATTGTCTCTTTCTCATCTGCAGGAAGGGGAGGGAAGATGGACAGCCTTGGCTTTGCTCAAATTTACTGAATTCCATCTCGTTAAATTTAGGTTCAATTCTCCTTGGAATGATTTCAAAACAAGATTTTTCAATACATTTTGTTTTTTAATTTTTTTCAACTTTTCAATCTATCTTCCTGCAAATTTCATTGATTACCATCCAGTTAGTAGACTTTCCTCTTCCTTCTTTCTTACTTTCTCTTTTTGTTTGATCAATCCCCAGTGATCTCAGTGTCACAGGAGGACAAAATGAAGACAAGGTGCGAATTTCAAAAAGAGGGACATTATAAATCTAAAGTCATTTGGCAGTTACCAGATAAAATAGCTGAAATATTAATTAACATCCATTAGAGCTGGAGATGTTAAGAAATTATTATAAAGTATATAAAAATAGAAAAAGTTAAAAATCAAAATTTGTCTTTTCATGTTCCAAATGGCTGCCCAAGCAAATACTAACAACTGTTCTTCAAACATTTTCTACTTTAATGGACCTTACACTATTTTTACATTTTATCATTTCTTGCTTCACTAACTCTTCAGTCAAAATATGACATGCATTTAGAAAGAGAGAGGAACACCCAGCATTCTGAAACTATCATATATCTTTTATTGAACTTTAAACATAAACAGTGATAATGTTAACACAAAAAATATCATTTATTTTTTTATTAACAGAATAAAATAATAAGATCAAATTTGTACTCACTTCTTTTTCATAGATTCCCAGGTCCCTAAAAGGGTTCACAGCAATAAGGATATCTCCAATATAAGTCTGAAAAATAAATAATAATTTTAGGATTAAAAACAAATCTTTTTTTATCATTTCACCCCAAGCAAGGCAATAAAGCCACTAAGACACAAGGTATTCCTGAGTTTGAAAAAATTTGATAAAAAACATTATTAAGGAGAGAGAATTATAAAAGAACAGGAATTAAGAAAACACAAGATAACAATTAACATTGCATTTAAATTTTTGAAAATCAAACTTAATAGGAAAGCAAGAGGCCAAAAGTGATTTCCACAAGCAAGAAGTGCAAGAGAAGGAACTATTAACATAGAACTTACAGTTATATCTAGCAATTTCAACTGTAAAATAAAGAAACCTTGCCACCAATCTAATACTCTGCTTAAATTCATAAAGTCTAAGTACCATATAGGAAACTTTGTCAGAACAATTACAATGAAAATGGTTATAGCAAAGACACAAGGATGCTATGTTACAGAAATAGGAAACTGACTGAAGCCAAGATGCCAGGTCAGGACTGATAACATTGGAGATTTTTCTTGGTATTTTATCAAGAATCTCTAAATATAGCAGACAATATGTGTCTATATTTATATAGAGATATTTACATATATATAAATTAAATATATTTATATACATATACATAAAATATTTTTGAAATCTATGAAATATATACATATCTTCATTTAGAGTTACCTACACTTTCATTGTGTTAAGTACTTGCTGGATGCTACTTCTAAATTTGCTAAGAGCTACAAAGAATAGGAAATTGTGGAGAGCCATGATTACCAACATCCTGAAGGGACACAGCATATAGAACAACAAGCTTGTGTAAATAGTTGGCAGAACAGGGATTAGGAGAGAGAACAAAAAGACAAACCATAGTAAGAGCTACAAAGTACAGGAAGTTGTGGAGAGCCATGACCGCTAACCTTCTGAAGCGACACGGGACATAGAAGAAGAAGCAGCTTGTGTAAATGGCTGGCAGAATAGAGTTTAGGAAAAAGAGCAAAAAGACAAACCATAGTAAGAACTACAAAGGACAGGAAGTTGTGGAGAGCAATGACTGCCAAAATTCTGGAGGGACACAGCATATAGAAGAAGAAGCAGCTTGCGTAAATGGTTGGCAGAACAGGGATTAGGAGAGAAAGCTAAAAGACAAAAATTACTAAGAGGTAAAAAGGACAGGAAGTTGTGGAGAGCCATGACTGCCAACGTCCTGGAGGGATGCGGCATATAGAAGAAGAACAATAAGCTTGTGTAAATGGTTGACAGAACTGAGATTAGGAGAGAGAGTAAAATGACAAACCTTATTAAGAGGTACAAAGGACAGGAAGTTGTGAGGAGCTATGATTGCCAACGTCCCGAATGGTCACGGCACATAGAAGAAGAATACTACTTATAAATGTGTAGAAAGTATAAATGTGATTATATTAATATTTACTTATGTATGGCATAAAACGAAATAAAAACAAATAAGGGATGGGAAGAATATACTGTTCCAATCTTCTGGGTGGACATACCTGCTTTAAAAATCAGCATTTAAAAATCTTGCTTTTTTTTTTAACTAGACTTGAATACTAAACACATGTTACAAGATGAGATCTTGCCCTGCTTCGATAAACGGAAGTTACCATCACGAGTCCCCGACTCGAAATGAAAACTGCACGTCTACGCATAGGGTCGACGCAGATACTTCCGTTTGGGGATAAACTCAAAAAAAAAATGAAAGAATTAAATCAACCAATCGGACCGTCTCCCGCGTAGTCAAAAAATTGCCATTTGGAGCCGATAGGCGTGTATAAGTTCAACACGGGAAAGTCAAAAGGAGTCCCATTCAACGGCGGAGGCAGAAGGGTCACGTCGCTCGCTCCTGACACACTGGCCCGGCGACGAAACGAAGCATGTGACCGCTGCTGCTAATGAACTCTCGTCCGACGCCTTGTCAAAGGGTACCTTTCCCCTTCCATAAGTCAAGTTAACTCCACGAACTTTACTTGCCACTACCATAGACATTCAACTTCTTAAATACGAACTTTTTACTTGTTCTTATTTTCCTCACTAAAAAGACTATAAAATATATCTACAGTCTTTCTTGTTCTTTCGATTCTGAATTTCATTGTTTGCAACCAAACGCAGTATTTCGCCCACATTGTTTTCACATCGCCCACGCATCTAAATACGGAATATAATACACAGATGATAGTTGGGAGGGAGTAGTGTTGTCATATTTGGACGGGAGCTGCCCAATCCTCACTTTTCAATCTCGATAGAGTTCAAAAGCGTCTCCGAGTCCTTTTGGGTGACTAATTATTTTCCAGCCTCCAACCTCCCACTCACAGGTGGGATGTGCCAAGCCTTTCACTGACCTGTTGGTCTGAGCACTTTCCATGGAAATTGCTCAGACCAACTAGATTCCTTGGTTCTGCCAGGCCTTCACAGGTAGGACCAACCATACCACTTATATTGTAGCAAACCACCAAAATTCCCTCCATATTCCATCGGCGAGAAGTTCCACTCAAACAGCTTCCCACGAACCACTGCCCTGTGGGACAGACTCCCAATCTTAACCTGTTCAAGTCTAGGCTTAACCATTTTCTTCCCCTCCTATACATATAAACTGCCTCTTAACGTAACCTTCTACTACAAATGACTCCAGGGCCTTGTACAGGGTGAATTTTACTGCAAAAATATATATATATATATATATATATATATATATATATATATATATATATCATTTACTTTGAAAAGTACACTTCTTTATTCTTTTTCTCTGTCAATCAAGACGGAAGGATCAACCTGCCTTGAAAATCAACATTCAAGTTCCTGACTTGATTTTTCTGGATTTGAACATTGGTCACATGCACAGGGGGAAGTAATAAACTACTTAAACCACCAATCACATCTGACCTTTTGACTGGAACAAGGCCACAACTATGTGAGCGAGATTTAAACTCGCTTCGACAGCACTAATGAAACTAGTTTGCATCCTTTTATGTGGTCTGTTTCTTTCAGGGTGTGGGAAATCAAGGCTCTCCACACTCCCTGTATTTTCTTGTTCTGGGCAATGTTTGACTCTTTGTACTCACTCTGCCATTCATTCTCCCGAACTCTTTAGATACACTACTCACTGTTTCTCTCTACCCTTGCTTCCTTCAATATGTCCTGTGAGAGTTAAATTTTCCACAATTTCATTTTAAGTATAACCGTCTTTATTTAAACATCTAGGAAATATTTTAACAGATGAGGGTGTGGTAACTACCACCACCATTACATACACACAGTACATAGAAATCATGCGACAAGCATTCATTGGTTGATCTTCTCAAAACTAGCTCGCTGACTGGTCAATTCCGACCAATCAGATATCCTGAACGCGAGGAATAATTTTCCCGCGCACAAGCTTCTGAGCCTACCACGTGATACACAGCCATACATAAACAAAACTCGAATAAGCTCCCTCGTGTTTCTCTTAATTCATCTTTCTCCTTGCTGCCAAGATGTAATCTTCAAGAGCTCCCGTATTAACCTTGCGGTCAGACGTTAAAGACCATTACCAACATTCACTCACGTACGAACTTTTAACTCTTCAGTCTCTCTTGCATCTCAATCCTTGCTGCCAAAATGTAACCTTCAAGAACTCCCGTCTTGACCATGCAGTCAGACGTTAAAGAACATTTGTCGGAGTTAACTCCTCCTTCAGTCCGTTAACCCTTTCACCAGGGGTCTCTCTTCCCTGGCTATAAATAGCCGCTGACCCTTGGCCTCTATATCTTTTTCCTTAAGGCTTTCAGCTATCAACCTCGAAATGTAGGCGCTAACAAGGGATAGCGTGGAAACACGCTAAGCACAATACTCACACACGCACGCACATACAGAATATTCACACACGCACGCACATACAGAATATTCACACACACTTCGTCCTTTGTACTGTTTCCATGTATTGTAACTTGTTATTAATATATATTTGTATATACATATATTATCGGTCTTGTGTTTTGTTTGCTTTCTTTACCTTCTTCTTTGGACTTAATCAAAGTCCAACCTTTTTATGTAGTTGGGCTCGGCGGGCAGGAGTATTTGAACCTTACTTGCGTTTCTTCGACGTCTGACTTCTATCAAAAATATAACAGCCACGCCATGAACCCTCAACAAGTGGTAACCGCTACGGGCCCACTACACATTACAACATTCACGCAAGTACAACTCTTAACTCTTCTGAACTCTTACCAACTTTACCAATTCAAATTTCCTAACATGCTAAAGGAACTTTATTCTTCTAAACTACAGTTTAATAATTACTTCATCTTTATGAGCTCCGGTACAAATATTTCCAAATCTAAGAGACATAACTCTATCAAACCTTCAGCTTATATGCATGTACATCAACACTAATAAATTCAATTGTTATGTTTTGAATCATTACATTCTGTCTTGTATTTTATACTATCTGCTATTTTACATGAAATATAAATTGCACTGTGCACGCCACATTGGATAGTAACCTCGAACGTCTTTGCTTTCCTTTCCTAGTCAAAAGATAAATATATGTAGTACATACTCACCGCCTACAAGGGAAAATGTGACAGTGAAATCCAAAGGCACATAGGAATAGCAAAAGATTTCTTACAAAAACTAAACAAAGAACAGAGCAACCTCGGTTCTCGACCATAATTTGTTCAGAAAGTCTGTTCTAAAACTGAATTGTTCCAGAACCGAATCATTTTTTTCCCATTACAATTAATGTAAAAGAGATTAATTCGTTTCCAAGCATCAGATGAATGCTTATTTACATACTTACACTATATATTCAGGTAAATCTTTCTCTGGGTTTTCTTTTCTTTTGTATTTCAGTAAAAACCTGTCCAATGTTAGTTGTTTTGGCCTGCATTGTAAGATCATTATAAATTCCTAATACTTTCTCACAAATAAATGTCTCACTGATACTGTCACCTGCTGTTTCTCATTTATAAAAATAAGCAATAACTTTTCCACTTCTTTGAGTATCTTTGGTCTTTGTT